CAGACTCTTCATCAGAATCCTTATCACTATCTAAGTTCTATTTTTCACTCCCCTGGTCAGATTCATTCCTAATTCTAGCAGTAAAGGCAATATATTTTTCACTTTCATCACAAGTGGACTTCTCACTCTGATTGTCTGAGCTAGACTCATCATTAGTGAGAGTAGTATTCATAGCCTTATCCAAATTTCTCCTATTGCTAGGGCACTCACTCTTAACATGACCAAACCCTCGACAATTATGGCACCTCACATATTTAGAATTTCTCATCGATTCACTCGGGCCACCTTTGTATCTCTTTTGAGGGTTCTTTTTCTTCCTAAAAATTTTTCGGAATTTATTAGCCAGGTAAGCTAACTCCTCATCGTCCGGTGAATCAGAATCAGAGGATTCCATCCGGGTATTTCTCACAGATTTCAAGGCAAGAGATTTATCTGTAACAGATTTATCTAAGGTCAACTCATACGTCTGGAAGGATCCAACTAACTGTTCTACCTTAATGGAGTTTATATCCTTACTCTCCTCAATAGCACTGATTTTAGCCCTAAATCGCCCAGGTAAGGATCTAAGGATTTTTCTAACAATCTTGGGCTCAGGGATTCTCTCTCCTAGGTTGAAACTAGAATTAACTATGTCGTTAAAACTCGCATAGAAGGTATCAAACATCTCATCTTCTCTCATTCTAATCTCCTCAAACCTAGTGGTCAGCATTTGCAATTTTGAGTTCTTAACAACCTGAGTTCCCTCATGGGTGGTTTGTAAAATATCCAAAATTTCTTTGGCTACCTCACAGATAGACACTTTCCTAAACTCTTCAAGGGACACTGCCATAAATGCCGTAAGGCTTTACTATTCCAGTTCACTCATCTAAGTTAGTCCTAGTCCAATTAGCAATGGGAGTAGGGGTAACTATGTTTTCTACAGTAGTACTAGGATCACTCCAACAATTCACTATACTCAGCGATATACGCTCATCTATAGATTTCAAAAAAGCTCTCATTCTATCCTTCCAGTAGGCATAATTACTGTCATCAAAATATGACAGTACAGACAGTGAACTACTCATCTAGACAATCAAATAAGGGTCAGGAATCGAAATTAGGCTCTGATACCAATTGAAAAACACAGGATTTAACCCAACTACACCTAGAGGGGAGGATTAGGTTTAAATGCGGAATTATCAATCTAA